GTTCTACTGTCTAATTGCACATAGCCAGGCAATTTTTGAGGTTATTAAAGCTAAAATGATAATTGATATAAATAAATTCATTTAATAATTTAATTCATTTACTGGCCAGAAGTTTTTTTAAATTATAAAATGTTTAATTGATGTGACTTGAACTTGTAGAGGAAAAATTCTTCGATTATAAATTATGATGATAACCGTTCACTTACTAATTGCACCACTCGTAAACGCACTTCAAAATTCGAGAACGTTGAATTTTATTAACTTACTCCCAAATTTAACTTATGGTGTAAACATGGAATTATACTGAAATCTTGAAATTGATACGAATATTGAATTTAATTATTGAGAACTTGAAATTATATTGTGTGAATACACAGCGTAATGATTGAAGTACGAATTATATTGACATGTTGTCTGATGATTTAAATTGAGTTTATAATTTTATGATGAGGAATACAACAATTTTGTTTATGATTTAAGTGTAAGGAAGCGATTATTGAATAATCCAAGCTTATATTGCAACACTAAATGAACAAGCTTCATTACTTGTTGAGTTAATGCCATGCAAGTTTAATGAAGGATATGTAATATGAGGATAAATTCGTCAGTTTAAATGAATACTGAATATAAGTACATATGAGTACAAATAATACAAATTTACATAATTTTACTTGTAATGAAATGCTTAGGATAAATGTATGACAAAAGTATACTAATAAATGATTTATATGAAATACGCGATGATATTAAAGATAAGGAGTTAAAGTGCATATGTGTATTGCTAGTAAACACGACTAGATGAATTCAGGTCTACGTGTAATAGAAGCAATTGATTTTTTTAGGAAGTAAGTAAATAATTTTAGTTAAGTTAAAAAAAAAAGTTTAATTTAAGTTCCTCCTCATAAAGTTATTTTACTTTTAAATATTTTTATATCGCGTCAGATATGACAAGACTAGACGTTTAAATACAATCTAATGTTGAATCGATGACTAAGACACATGCAAAAAACCGTATCAGATTGATTAACCTCGAAAATCAAAAATGTTATTCATTTGTATTTTTAGAGAAGAAAAAAGAATGCAGAGAAAGAGAGAGTGAATATGAGTAAATGATGGAAATTGACACGTATTCATCTTGCACCACTTGTATTATATGCTCTGATTTTTTATGTTTAACGATTTAATTTTTTTAAAATGAATTGTTATATTGCTTTATGCCTACTACACATTGTAGCACATTTTACCTTATGTTATGATGTTAAAAACAAAAAAAAAAACAAAAAATTAATTAAAAGGGATGTAATGTAGTATTAAGGTTCAATAGTATTAACTTGCATAACCATTGGAATCGATACCCATCACTTGATAAATGCCTTAAATTGGATTGACAGTTTTAATGGTCAACTTGAGTATACAGATAATCTAATAATATAACTGGACTTTGCATAACTTTACCCTAGTCAGTTGGACTTGGCATTTCTCACACTATGAATCTATGATTGTCAGTTTTGAGCCTAAGCTCTGAAGTTTGTGATAAATCTTAATTAGTAGTTTTTTGGTAAACAAGTTACTAAATCATGGAGAAAGAATTTCTCTATGATCCAATCAGAAACTCTAAAATATGGGGTGACTTACTTCAGACACACCCCCATTACCTAAAGTATAATAGGCAAACACCCCCATATCACTGAATCAGCAATGGTCAGTAATCAGTAGTGAGTAGTCAGTAATCAGTAGTCAGTGATCAGTAATCAGTAGTCAGTAGTTAGATTCAACACAGAAGAAAAGTACAGGGCCGAGCTGACTCCACTCTAAAAGGGTTCTCTAACATCTGAAACCTGGAGTAATTAGCTGATTGTAACCAACGTACAGTTTGTGTGAATAAAAGTTTGCAGTGTACTAAAAGGAACTGTGTCATACTACTCATTAAAGTCACCAACAACTAACCGATATTTAACAATATACTACAATAAAAAATATTATTAACTTATTTGCTGCCCTCCCTCATATAATATAATAATTTGAGCATTATACAAATAGCCATACAGAAATGATATTGTATTGATTTTGGAATCTCGAATTGAGGTTTTGACAATTTTTATGTTAAGTTTAACAAGGAAAAAATGTGTTTCCCGATTGAAATTTTAAAATTGGAATCGGTCGATTTTGGCACTGTTCTGTCAGGTCAGTTGATAAGTTTGACACTAAGGAAAGGTACGTTTTTAGCAGAGATTTATGAATTACTGGAGCAATATACAGTAAAATTTAGATACAACTTAGCAGATGTCTTAGAATATTGGCAGTACTGTAAGACTGGAAGAAGCGGTGATGCTTGGGTGGTGCTCTGGACATGCCTCCGATATGTGCTAAACTTGACAAAATTATGTAGAAACTCTGCTATTAGTGACTAGATTTTTATGAATGCACTAATTATTTGTTTGAATATTCATAATTGTAACCTACATATTGTATTGAATAGCTTCAAACTTTCAATTGCTTAATGTTTTTCCACAGTAAAAAATATATACGGTACCAG